CCCCGGTGAGCGATGAGCGGGAAACGCGGCGGGACCCGGCTGGGGGCGCGGGCGAGGGCGGTGTCCAGAAAGGGGGCCCGCAAGTTCGAGGAGCACTTCCTCTCCTTTGCGCCCCACCTCAGTCCTAGCTCCCCCTGGCCGTCCAGGGTCCCTGGAAATTGGGCTCCTGGTTTGGATCGCGCTCCGAGGCCATTCTGGGATGCTCGGCAGCTGGCAGCGCCGTCGCGACCCCTGCTGCGTCCTGCCAAGGCCCCTGTGCCTGGCTTTCCGCAGCTCCCTGCACCTTCCTTAGGACTCAGAACTGGGGCCTAGCGTGCCCTCCTGCGGGAAGACCTTTCCTGCCTCCTCTACTGCCGTTCATCCAGCCTCCAGATCTCTGGGCAGGAAAGGCAGCGCGGAACCGCCCTGGACTTAAAGAGCTAAGCCTTCTCTGTCCCCTCGTCCCAACACACACAGCAGAGGGCGGAGGTCCAGAGAAAGTCCCACAAAGCTATTCGGGACTCAGCGACGGCGAGTGCTAGGCATCAGTGCATTTACCCCCTCAGATCACCTCCTGTGGGAGGCAGCCAGGGTTTGCACTGTGACCCTGTTCCGTGGGGAAACTGAGACCCAGGCTGGTTATAATAACCAGGCCCCATTGCACTTCCCCCACCTCCCATCATGTAGCTCTGGGAAAGCTCGGGTCGGGTCGCTGTGACAGCGAGGTGATCCCCGCCTCTCTGCCCTGCAGACATGTCCTTCCGAAAAGTCGTGCGGCAGAGCAAATTCCGGCATGTGTTCGGGCAGCCAGTCAAGAATGACCAGTGCTATGAGGACATTCGAGTGTCCCGTGTTACCTGGGACAGCACTTTCTGCGCAGTGAACTCCAAATTCCTGGCAGTGATTATAGAGGCCAGCGGTGGTGGAGCCTTCCTGGTGCTCCCCCTAAACAAGGTGGGCCCCATCAGGGTTGGGAGGGGGGCTGGAACAAAGACTGCAGGCACCTGAGCCACACCTCTGGCCCTTCTGCACACCTCAAAGGCATGCCTTGATCGCCCCCTCCCTGCTGGGCAGGTGTCATGATCCGTATTTACTCCCCAGGAGGTGTGAGGGAAGGTGGCAAAAGTGTTTATTACCACTGAGTCAGAGACAGGAGCTGCAGACATTTCCTGCTTACGGGAGGCGGGTGGTTGGGCACTGTCACATCTGCACCACCAGTGAGCCAGGTTAAACACAGCATTCCTACTCCAGGGAGGGGACTGAGGCTCTGGAGAGATGGAGCAGACGTTCTGACTGTCCCTCATGCCTGCAGACGGGCCGCATTGACAAGGCCTATCCGACAGTGTGTGGGCACACTGGACCTGTCCTGGACATCGACTGGTGTCCCCACAATGATGAAGTCATTGCCAGTGGCTCAGAGGACTGCACAGTCATGGTGAGCACAGGGCTGTTCAGGCCAGAGTCTCGGTGTGGCTGCAGGCTGCTGGTAACAGGGGCAAGCAGAGGCCTCAGCCTAGCATCCCCATCCTTCCTGCAGGTGTGGCAGATCCCAGAGAATGGTCTGGTTTCCCCACTGACAGAGCCAGTGGTGGTACTGGAGGGGCACACCAAGCGTGTGGGTATCATCACCTGGCACCCCACTGCCCGAAATGTGCTACTCAGTGCAGGTCAGCACTGTTCCCTACCCACCCTGCCCTGAATCCCCCCTTTGCATATGTGACTCTGGAACATCCCAGCAGCCTCTCCCGGGCCCACTTGATGGATAGGGAAGCTGAGGCCTGCAGCAGTCAAGAGAGTTGGTTCAGTCCCAGAGGAAAGGGCGAAGTAGGCCTGGTGGGCTGGTGGCCCCCACCTGCCTGCCCAGGCCTAAGCTGATGGCCCTTCACCTGCCAGGCTGTGACAATGTGGTGCTCATCTGGAATGTGGGCACTGCAGAGGAGCTGTACCGCCTGGACACGTTGCATCCTGACCTCATCTACAATGTTAGCTGGAACCGCAATGGGAGCCTCTTCTGCACGGCATGCAAGGACAAGAGCGTGCGCATCGTCGACCCCCGCCGTGGCACCCTGGTGGCAGTATGTGGCCCCAGAGGGTGAGGATGGCAGTGGACAGGACCAGGGGCTTGATCGGGGTGCTGTTCTGATTACCTGTTCCTCCCCAGGAGCGGGAGAAAGCCCATGAGGGGGCCCGGCCCATGCGGGCCATCTTCCTGGCAGATGGCAAGGTGTTCACCACAGGCTTCAGCCGTATGAGTGAGCGGCAGTTGGCACTCTGGGACCCAGTGAGTGGCCATGGTCAGCCGAAGGAGGGAGGCTTGAGACTGGGCCCCTACCATGGCAGCATCACACTGGACCAGGCTGGAGGGGTCAGCCTGGAGAGGACTGTGGCCCAGAACCTCTCCTCTCCCTGCCCTGTGCTCTCCGGCCTTCACTGACACTCCCCCAATGTCTCCCACTGCCCCCGTGTCTTTGCCACCCTGTTCCTCTTAATGGAAAGGCACTTTCCTCCTTTGCTTGCTTGAACCACCCAGCTAGCCCTCTAGGGCCAGTACAGAGACCTCTCCTCCAGCAGGCTCCTCAGCCCTTGCCATGAAGTACTCTGTCCTGCAACTGTGTTTATGCACACTAACCAGGGTCCCTTCAAGGCAGGGCTGGTGCTGCCCATGGTAGGGACTTTCTTAGCACTTGCTTGGTGGCCTGGGAAGATTCTTAAGGCCTGGGTGAGGATGGAAAAGTAGGATCATGGGAGTGGACAGGATCCCTTCGTAGGTTACACTGTGGGCAGGGGGTAGGAGAGAACCCCCCGCCCCGTTGGGACAGTGCCTGCTGACACTGAGGCTGGTTAAGGCCAGTCCTGGTCAGGGGTTTGTATGGACAATTCTGGCTTGGCCTGACTGACCTCCACATATCAGGAAAACCTCGAGGAGCCTATGGCCCTGCAGGAGCTAGATTCAAGCAATGGGGCTCTGCTTCCCTTCTACGATCCTGACACCAGCATGGTCTACGTTTGTGGCAAGGTGGGCCTGGGCACAGCTGGTGGGGATAGGGGAAGTTTCATGGCCAAGTGCTGAGCCCTCTGCCATTACAGGGTGACTCCAGCATCCGGTACTTTGAGATCACTGATGAACCCCCCTACATCCACTTCCTGAACACATTCACCAGCAAGGAGCCCCAGAGGGGCATGGGCAGCATGCCCAAGAGGGGCTTGGAGGTCAGCAAGTGTGAGATTGCCCGGTAAGAGAGGTATCAGGCAGCCATTGTATGATACTTTTTTATTTATTTATTTATTTTAGTACTGAGGATCAAACTCGGGCCCTTGCACTTCTGAGGCAGGTGGTGCAACCACTGAGCCAAATCCCTGGCCCACAGGCAGCCACTGTAGATGGGACTCACTCTGGGACCTGGCCTAGGAATGGGTCAGGATGAGGGTAGGGGCCAAGCCAGGGGCATCCAAGGTGAGAGGTCACATTTCGGGAGCAGGAATATCAGAGGGGCCCAAAGGTTAGGGGCCAGTCTATAGGAACCCTTGAAGCCACAAGGCAGGCTGCAGGAGGGGTCTTGGGGTCAGCCCGTGGGAAGGCTGAGTAAGGGTTGGAGGTGGAAGTTGGGGGCAGCTAGGAGAGCTCCATTCATGGGGCTTCCTGTCCCTTTCTCAGGTTCTACAAACTGCATGAGCGGAAATGTGAGCCCATTGTCATGACTGTGCCAAGAAAGGTGAGGCCACCTGCTTCCCACACCCATTTGCTTCCTTCTCTAGCAATATTGGTGGTGGGTGAGGCCTGTGATTGGATGCGGTGAGCGGGTGGGCTGGAGAGATGCCAGCATGCACTTGTACCCACAGGGTAGATGGGGCAAGCCGGGTGACACAGAGGGCTAGCTGAGGGCCTGTGCCCAGCAAACCACGGGAGACAGGGCCCAGCATTCATGAGGAGTTGCAGCCGTGGAGGGCCTTCCAGTAGGAGACAGGACCCACAGCAGGGCCAGGTGGTGCCATCCAGCAGGGGAGCAGGCCAAGCAAAGGGCATGGGAGGTGGGAATGGAAAGGGATGAGGGACTGGCTGCAGTGCAGAGTTCTATGAGGACAACCAGGCCATGTGGGGCTTGGCCCCAGATGCCGAGAGTCTCAGACACACTTCCATTATTCTCCAGCTGACATTTGCTGAGCAATTCGTTTGATGTGCCTGGCACATCTGGGAGCAGAGTCGCGTGGGGGCTGATAGGACCTGCCCTGGGAGCTTAGTCCATGAGGCCCAGATGTGGCTCCCAGGATCTCACAAAGCTATATAGCTGGGCCCTGCAGTTTGTAGAGAAGGGTGGTGACAGAACCCTGTTCGGGAGGGTTGGGGACAGCTGCAGAGGGACCTAACTGTTGATGTCCAGAAGGGAAGGGAAATGGCTGATCTGAGATTACTCAGGATCAGGACATTAGCGGTCCGGTTGACAGAACATCAGCCCAGAGCCCAGGAGGGTAGTGAGGAAGTGGCCACCCAGGGTCCATATGTGAGGTCTTTGACAGGAGGTCCTCAGCTCATCCTGACCTCTACCTGCCGCGCAGTCCGACCTCTTCCAGGATGATCTGTATCCTGACACAGCTGGGCCTGAGGCAGCCCTGGAGGCTGAGGAGTGGGTGAGCGGGCAGGATGCTGACCCCATCCTCATTTCACTGCGGGAAGCTTACGTGCCCAGCAAACAGCGAGACCTGAAACTCAGCCGACGCAACGTCTTATCTGACAGCCGGCTGGCCAGCTCCAGTCGTCTGGGAGCCTCCACTTCTGCTGCCACCACCACCGATGCCTCCCCCAGTGGCAGCCTCACAGGGGCTGGGGTATGTGCTCCCTAGTCAGGGTTGGTATTGGGAGCTCAGGTGATGTCCCAGTCTGTGTGCCCGGCCATCTGGTGCCCCTTTCTGAGCCGGAGTGCACTGTTTGGTGGTTGGTTTGAGAAGGGTTGTGGCTGATTGCCACTGACTCTCCGTTGTCCCTGCAGGAGGCTGGGAAGCTAGAGGAGGTCATGCAGGAGCTGCGGGCATTGAGGATACTGGTCAAAGAGCAAGGGGAGCGCATCGGCCGCCTGGAGGAGCAGCTTGGCCGCATGGAGAATGGGGATGCATAGGGCCACGGCCCTGGGCCCACCCCCTCACTGCATCCCCCTCCTTCATCCCCTCCTCACTCAGCTTCTGCTGGCAGGTCACACCAGGCCACTGGCTGCCGAGCAAGGGTCTCTGTGGCAGATCAGGGACCAGTTTGTACTTGACCAGGCCTGGGGCCCAAGTTGGAGCCACCACCTAGCTCTGGTCATTGTTACTATGGAGGATTTTTACACCAAGGCAAGCTCACTTGGACTCTGAGGGACCATTTCCCTCCCACACCCAACTCTCTCTTCCTCCCCAGAAGAAATGGCAGGGATGAACCCTATATTTTTCATTCCAAATAAAATTTTCTTTCTAAAAGCTTGGCTTGACCTGCCATTGCAAGAGTGGGCTTGGGAAGGGAAGTCTGCAAACCTGGGGACAGATGAGCATGGAAATCATGACTGTGAAACGTCTGTGGTCCCCAAATAACCACACATTGCTCCCCTAAATTCTGTAAGTCAGAGAAACAAAGGCAGAAGACTTACAGACATTGCTGGGCATGGTGGTGCATGCCTGTAATCCTAGCACTCAAGCTACATAGTAAATTCAAGGCCGGCCTGAACTACATATTGAGACTCTGTCTTAAAGAAAAAAAAAAGACACATCCAAGGCTGCATCCGGCTTTGAGTTGGGTGCCTGGTCCCTCCTCAGAGGCCTGGTTACAGGCCTGTGGCTCCAGCTTCCCCCAGAGAAACTTGGAGAATTTGATGTGGTATGGGGTGGTCCCAAGAGGCCCCAGCCCCACCAGGGTCCTGCAGCAGGCAAGTGCGGGTGGGGTATTGTGGACAGGAAGCGGAAGTGTTGGGTCGATAACCCCTAGCTGCAGTTGAGCACCCAGAGCTCACTTCTCAATACATCTAGAGCCAGAGGTGAGAGCCCTGTGAGGAGGCCAGCAGACCAATGGTGAGTGTTAGTGCCTGCTTCTTTCTTGAAGCAGTGCAGGGTGGTTCCAGGAGGTTGGGGTGGAATGTCTGGGTCCCAGGAGCTATGGAAGGGTTCCCCTACTAGGACCCAGGGCAAAGAGAGGCAAGACCCAGGAAAAGCATCACTGGGCAGAAGCTGGGTCCAACTCAGAGTCTAGCACCCCACTCCAGGTCCAGCCCCACTGTGAGGCCCCTGGGGTAGACCCTACCTGGTCATCTCATGAGCTGAACCCCAGCATGGCTCCTGTTTGTGTTCCTGGGACCCAGAGGCTGAGGGAAGGGCCGCACTCATACCCCTCCCCCCCCTCCACGCTCTACCTGACTTTCCAACCGCAGGCTTCCTCTGCCAGCTGCACCCGCCACCCCCAGCCTCAGCCCTGCTTGCTTGAGGCCCTCAGGGACGACAGGTTACTGAGCGGAAACTCTGCAGCTGGGGCAGCCCCATAGCTATAGGAGGAAGAGGGCCCCCAGGGACCCCTGTCCTGGGACCCAGCCAAGCAGAGGCTTAGGGGTTGGTTCTGTGTTCATCCACATCCCTCCATCCCAGCCTCCAGAAGAGTCAAGACTGATGCCAAATGCTCAGGCCCCTTCCTTCCCTTCTCTCTCCCCTTACCACCCTCCTACCCCCAGGAGGGCAGTTTTGACACATTCAGGAGGAGGCTGTATTTCTTGAGCATCTATTATGTACCAGGTATTGTTTTAGGTCCTTGGCCACCAAAATGTCTTCCCACAGCTTATTCTGGTGGAGGTGTAAGGTAAAGCAACAAAAAAGACAGGTAGACCCGTATCCAGCGTAAGCTGTGGAGAATATATAGAGCAGGTTTAGGGGTCTGGAGAGTACAGGGTGAGTGGACTGCTGTAATAAACAGCAGTTAGCAATCAAGGTCATCTTGGGTCTCACGGGAGGTGAGCAGGCACCCACATGGCCCTCAGGTGTGGAGCATTCCAGGCAAAGAGAAGGAGCCAGTGCAAAGGCCTCAGGCAGGAGCAGGCTGAAGGAAGCAAGGAACGGGGCGGTAGGGTCAAGTCAGAGTTTGAGTCAGATCACACTGGGCCAAGGCTTTGACCAAATAAGGACTTTTTTGCTTGACTGCTCCCTTTTTCTTTTTTTTTTTTTCCTTTTTTTGGTATCAGGGATTGAACTCAAGACCTTGCACTTGCAAGGCAGGCACAGCGCCACTGAGCTAAATCCCAACCTGGACTTCTCCCATTTTGTTGAGAGGCAACTGAGGACCTTCTCAGTGGGGAACAGAAAGTAATCTCTGTCACCCACCCAGCTCCACACCAGGTGACAGCCCCATCTTGTCTCCCACAGGCTCTATCCTGTGCCCTTGGGCTTGGGATGCTGCTGGTTCTGCCAGGAACCCTGGGCTCCGGGGACAGCGTGGGTTCCAGCTCTATAACCGTTGTCCTACTGCTCCTGCTGCTTCTGCTTCTGATCACTGGACTGGCCCTGGCCTGGCACCGCCTTAGCCGTGACTCAGGTGGCTACTACCACCCAGCCCGTTTGGGCACTGCGTTGTGGGGCCGTACCCGCCGCCTGTTCTGGGCCAGCCTTCCAGGCCACTGGCTTCAGACCCATTTTGAGTTGGGGTCATCAGACAATGCAGAGGGGCAAGAGGATGTACAGGACGCAGAAGATGAAGATGCTATAGATGGGGGCATGGAGGAGGCTGAACCCCAGGAAGACAAGCAGCTCTGTGGAGCAGGCGCCCACCCGGAGCAGGCCCTGGGGCACACTGAGGAAGCACCTGACATTGACGCTGAAGGGGGTTCAGGGGGCAGTGCTGAGGCCCTGTTGAGTGACCTGCATGCCTTTTCAGGCAGTGCAGCCTGGGATGACAGTGCTGGGGCAACAGGGGGCCAGAGCCTCCATGTCACTGCACTGTAGGAGTCAGCCTTGGTGTTGCAGCCCTCATGGTATCTCACTGTACCTCTGCTTCCCAAGCTACCACTGTGGAACACAGCTGCCAGGACCTGTCGCTACCCCAACCCCCATGTGGAACACCTCAGACTGTTACCCCTGACAGTTCCCATACCTGTCAGCCCCACCCCCTCCAGAAGGCCACCCATCACATGGGCCCTGGGCAGCCATTTGAAATAAATCCCTCCCATCCTACAGATCTGTGGTCCTGTAGTGTCCCCTCACCTCCCTAAGCAGGTACTGTTCTTGGAATGACCCCACCTATCCCGAGTCTCCCAGAAACCATGATTTCCAGAGTCCAGTCAATGCCATGATTCAGGCCTTTAATTCTGCAATGGCATGGCTAAAGGCAAGAGTCCCGTCCAGTGGGACCCTCCTGCCAATAGTCATAGCCAACTGCCTCCACGTGCATGATTCTAGTGCTCAGCCACCCCAGACAAAGACATACTCCTGTCCCACAGACACACCTCAGGTCTCTGGAGCAGCCAGGGGCTGGCTATGCTCACAGCTAGCAGGGAAGGGGCCTCAATGTTGCCCTCACCCCTACCCATCCTCCTAGCGCCCAGGGCGCCCACGGCCCCTCTTGGACTTCTTGGTCCCTGAGGGGGGACGGATGGGGAGGGGAGCAGTGCTTGCGGGTAGTGGCAGTGGTGGTGGCAGGAGTGGAGGCAGAGGCGGTTCCATGGGTTCTGATGGGCCTGGGCTAGGTCGGAATCCCTCAAAGGGAGAGAATTTGAGGGGGCTGCAAGGGAAACCAAGGCAGAGTCAAAGCCTCCTAGGCCCTGCTGGATGACCAGCTCTTATGGTAGAAAGGAAGGCTGAGAGGGGCCCTAGCAGCTTTGGCCAAGACCACCCAAAGCCACCAGCCTCCTGTCACTAGAGCCCCCTGTACCAGCCACCTGCTCCCCTGTGCCTCTTGGTACCTGATTGGGGTCCGGGGGCTGCTGTTGAGGCGACGTGGGGAGCGCAGCTTGGGCTGGAAGGAGAAGCCCTCTTTGATGCTGTCCAGGACGGAAGGGGCCACGTATGTGAAGCCCTGGAGGGAGAGGTCAGGCCAGCTGATGCTCAGTGTCCACCACTCCTTGGGTATCAACCCTGCCTTGGTCTCCATGGTCCATGTGCCCCCAGGGGAACTCACTAGGAAGGCCTGATTGGCACTCTCACTGAGGGCTGTGTCATCTGGACTATCCACTGGTGTCTGCCGCGTAAAACGGGTGTCGAACTGACTCACATCCTCCTCTGACTGCTGTGGACAGATCCACATGGGAAGGGTCAGGGAAGGGCAGTCTGAGGAGTGGGGCCTCCACTGGCCACAAGGCCAAGAGGGTCTACACTCACCAGACTTGGCCTGAAAGGGGGATCCACACGGCGGGCCAGGAGATCGTCCCAGTTGATGTGCCGGAAGAAGGGGTGCCTCTGACGGTAGACAGCACCCTCAAACATGCCAACCGTTCACCCTTCCTGGCTCCCTCTTGTTTTTGGTCCCAGACTCACCTGCACATCAGTAGCATCCCCTGGGCCACCCCCAATCCGTTGGCTGGGATTCCGCTTCAGAAACTGTGGGGCCAAGGCAGAGGGTTAGGGCTTGGGGGAGGTATAGCTGTCCAGCTCCAGGATTGGTGGGGGAGGATGAGGTTGGAGGGGTGCCCTGTAGTATGGCCTCCACTTATTAAGCCCCACAGGACCTTCACGCTTAGGTACACTGGCATCTTCTCCAGAAGCTTTTGCTGACATCACCTGACACCTCTAATAAGGATCCAATGCCAAGTCCCAAAGGAGTCCTCCCTTCTCATGTACTCCCAGCTGCTGGCTCTCCTGATGGAAGTGGCTGGCTCACCTGGAGCACTCTCCTGATTAGGAACTAGACCTGGGCTTATCTAGAGGAAGCAGCTGATCTGTCAGAGCTGAGGCCTGGGCTCAGAGTCTGGTAGTGTTGCTTTTACTTCCACAGGCACACTGCACGGGCCAGTGGCACTCAGGAACATATATGGAGTGACCCTGGGCAGGAGGATCCCCACCTTTTTGACAAGGTCCCGGGCATCTGGGGTGAGGTAGGGGGGCAGCACCAGCTTCCCCTTGATGATCTTGTCCATAGTCTTCTTCCTGTTCTCTGCAGTGAAGGGTGGCTGGAGGAGCCAGAAGGTGAGGGGAACCTGGGGGCCTCCACCAGGTCCTGCCCCAGCCAGAAGGGGGATCTCCCACACCACCCCCCTCCCAAGGAGGCTGGACTTGCCGATCCAGTGAGCATGTCGTACATCAGGGCCCCCAGGCTCCACCAATCCACCGCCCGGTTGTGGCCACTGCGCACCAGAATCTCAGGGGCCCTGGGGGCCGAGTGGAACTGTCAGTCAGGCCAGACTCCCTCTGGCTGTGCTCCCAACCCCTGGGCCAGCCGGGAGCTACTTACATGTACTCAATGGTGCCACAGAATGTATGAGTGACAGCGCCCTCATGAATGGACTCCTTGCACAGTCCAAAGTCTGTGAGTTTGATGTGGCCTGAGGATGAAGAGTGGAGGATGGTCAGGACCACACGCCCACAGCTCCCAGCCTTTCCCTGCGGCCTTTCTCTGCAGACCCAGCCATGCAGCTAGCTACACAGTGTGTGTGCTCACAGGCGCACCCTGGCTGTTGAGCATGATGTTCTCAGGCTTGAGGTCTCGGTAAATGATGCCTTGGGAGTGGAGATGGCCCAGAGCCAGGGTGATCTCAGCTAGGTAGAAGCTGTAGAGACAGGACAGGTTGAAGGGGTAGAGGAAGAGCCAAGCACCCCTGGGGAGAGGGGCAAGCTTCACACCCACCAGGCTGTGTCTTCCAGGAAGATGCCTTCTCGCTCCAGATGTGTAAAGAGCTCACCACCTGTAACACAAACACATCAGCAGCTGTGTGCTACAACTCAGTGCTGCCACTGACTTTGAGTCTCAGTTTCTTCTTGGGAAAAAGGGAGCTTATAAATCCCACCCTACCTGCCTCCCAGAGCTGCCGTGGGGATTCAATTCAATTCAGCAAACATCTACCGCCGCCTACTCGGTGCCTGGCCCTGTGCTGGGTGAAGCTGGGGGCAGAGATGAGGAGACCCAGCCATTGCCCTCAGGATGCTCAGTCTGATGGGGAGACAGATACATGCACACTGCTCAGGGACGCCAGACTAAGGCAACAGCTCAGAGCTTTGCCCAAAGAACCTCAGGGCAGAGACAGTGCAGATGAAGCTAATCCCAACAAAAGACAGAATGTGAGGTGGCCATGGGGCTTTCCAAGGTATTGACATGGAGGGGAGGGATGCAGAGTGTACAGCTAGCAGCTCTCAGATCTCAGCTGGTACAGGGAGGGAGATGGAAAGTGTAGACCTGAACTGTTTCACGGTGAGCAGGGAGCGATGGGCCAAGAAGCCAGGCTTTGTCTGGGCAGTTAGAGACTCAAGGAAATTAGCAGTTTTGGTAGTCAGGTGTGGCAGCACACACTTACAATCCTAGCCTTGGGAGCCTGAGGAAGGAGGAAAGCCATGAGTTCAAGGCCAGCCTGGGTTACACAGAAAGTTACACCTGCTGGGCGTGGTGGGCGTGGTATGGCACATCTGTAATCCCAGCACTTGGGAGGCTGAGGCAGGAGGATCGCTGTGAGTTCGAGACCAGCCTGGGCTACATAGCGAATGCCAGGTCAGTCTCAACTACATAGTGAGAATCTGTTTCAAAAACGAAAACAAACAAACAAAAAACCTAGCCTGAATTACATATCGAGACCTTGTCTCAAAAAAAAAAAAAAAAAAAAAAAGTTGCCAGGCATGGTGGCGCACATCTGTAATCCCAGCACTTGGGAGGCTAAGGCAGGAGGATCACTGTGAGTTCGAGACCAGCCTGGGCTACACAGTGAGTTCCAGGTCAGTCTCAACTACATTGTGAGACCCTGTCTCAAAAAAACCAAAACCAAAGCAAAACAAAACAAAAAAAAGTTTAGCAATGACCCTGGTAGCTAAAGGAGGAAACATGAAAGCAGGGAAAGAGCTGGGGATGTCAGTGACACAGCATCTGCCTTACTAGTACAAAGTCCTGAGTTCGATCCTCAGCACCAAAATAAAAAGCAAGCAAGGAGGTGAACTGGGGCTGACTAAAGAAACTGTGACCACTACACACACACACACACACACACACACACACACACACACACCGACCAAGAGGCAGTAGAGGGGATGAGCAACACCGCAGAGGATGCAGCTAGATGAAGCCCTGACCAGATGCCAGGCACACAAGGAAAGAATACAAAAAGGGAATGTAGCAGAAGTGGACAAAACCACCCTCTCTGGTCTTCTATACCAACGCCTGTTATTCCCATCCACCCCCAACACAGGCAAGGGACACAGCAGGCACTGGACAGATGTTTGCTGAATGAACGCATGAATGAATGAACAGGGGGACAGTGGACACATGGTGGATGGAAGGGTCCCTTAGTCTCTCAAGCTTCCTTCAAGCACCCAGCAGTTCCTGCACTGGTCCCTGGCCACCCATAGCCCAGCTGGACCCATATGCATACCGCTGAGACACTCCAGGATGAGGTAGAGTTTGCCACCTGTCTGGAAGGCATAGGCAAGTTCCACAATGAAGGGATGCCTCACTGACTCTAGAATGTTCCGTTCAGCCCGAGTATGTGCTGTGTCCTTGGCATTACGCACGATTTTGGCCTTGAGAAGCAGGAATGGGTTAGAAGGTAGGGCATCTAGAACTCCTTCAATCCCTCTAACCATTACTCTCCTTTTTTTTGTGGTTATTCCATGTCCTCTTTCATTGTTTTGCAGCAGAAAGCTCAACCCTGAATACATTGCAAAAATCTGGCTGTGCTATAAGGTCCTAATGACCTTAATGAATATGGACATAATATGCCATAAACATGAACTAAGATTAACAAAAATGAAAAGGGAGAAAGGGGGCCGGGGATTTGGCTCAGTGGTTCCACCGCCTGCCTCACAAGCACAAAGACCTGAGTTTGATGCCTGGTACAAAAAAAGGGGCAGTGGGAGGACAACTAGAGGAGGGAAGGGAATTTAAAACAGAGAGTCAGGTATGGTGGCACACAGCTGCAGTCTCAGCACCCAGGAGGCTGAGGCAGGGAGGATCCCTGTGAATTTGAAGCCACCCTGGGTTACATAGTGAGTTCAAGTCTAGTCTTAACTACATAGAGAGACCTGGTCTCAAAAATAATAAAATAAATATATACTTAAACAAAAATTTGTACTTTCAGCCCCTGTCTGCACTCCAGGTCTGCACAGTCCATGGATCTGTAGTGATGCCATGATCCCTCCCACTGATCAAAACATGGCATTGGGTTCAAATGGTCATGAGCCCCCTTTCTTTTTTTTTTTTTTTTTTTTTTTTTTTTTTTTT